CCACTGGTTCCGTACGCTAGGTGGCGCCACACCATAATTAACAGGACAGGACAGCACTGACATTTAATTTCAATTAAGCAAGAACCGATAATTCGAACAGGCAGTTACGTTAATTAAGCAATGAAGTGACGACGGCTATTGCCTTCAATTGTTGTCATTGCAGTCTGAAAGTCACTGAGAAGAGTCATTGACATTTGGCGAATGGCAAATTGCGAGAGATGCGCCAGTTCTTACAAAATGTTGTGCAGAAAAAAGGGGCAAAAAGAAAACGAGGGTAATGCAACGAGGGTATGGGTATGCAGGATGGCTGTGACGGGAGTTAAACAGCCCCTCCTCAACATTTTACAACCACAACTGATAATGTCAGGCGGTCGGGGCCGGACAACCGAGTCAACAAAAACACCCACTTAAGCTTAGCCAGCCGAGCCATAAAATCAAGAATGAATGATGGATAGAAATCAGCAATGATCGATTGCTAAGCTACCCTGGATTCTTAAGAGGTTGCTGATTAATTGATCATATGTTTAAAGTTTAGGTCATTTACCTTCAACACCATTGCAGATAATTGTTCTTTAGAAAAAACCAAAATTAAATACATTCTTGTTTTTTCTTTATTAATTTAAATTGCATTAAATATTTATAAATATATATTTTTAGCAACAAAGTAATAATTTTCATTCGCTTTTCACCATTTTTTTGTTGTAATATATTGGCTTTTATCAGCATGGTAAATTTTCTAATCAACAGCTAAAATCATAAATTAAAAATCATTGTGGAAACTGTAATCTATTTTTGTTAACACAATCTTATCTGTCTCCCGATTCGAACTTCTCAAAGAAAAAAACCCATTCAATAGGGTATCAGGCGAAACAAATTAGCAGAGAGAACAACAAGTCTACTCTTGTGGTTACGAAAACAGCCATAAAACTGCAATTTTAAACTGAGCTAATAGGCCTGAGCCCATAAATATGTTTATGCGTTTGGCAGCGAAATAATAATAACAGAATGCCAAAACACTTGTCAACAATGCATTTGCTGTGTCACATTTTACTGCCATTTTTTGTTTCATTCATATAATTATTGTCGCCGACTGACTGAGGCTGATTAGATATTACCGCACCGCATCGGGTGTAAACAAGTTTGGAATTTGCATTGAAAACAATGTTTACTGAGTGGGTGTGACCACAACTTGTTATTGTCCAAAATGGAAGCGAAAGCAATTTTCAAAAGAAGACGAAGACAAGCAAATGCAGCTGCAATTTCGAAATGCCGGAAATTTAGTTCTCTGCTAAGTTTTGTTTGATGTATAAAAATAGCAATTGAGGAAGGGTTAAAGCATGTTGATTTTTATCAAAGCACTCAAACTAACCGATAGGAACAATCAAATATTTTGAAAGTTTTATTTTATTAGGTATTCAAGGAAAAGTTTGATGTCGAAAGAAATTGTTACTATTTTAAAGAAATAATTGAGATTTCTCTAATTTATTAATTGAGAACATTTTGAAAGCTTCTTTGATTAATTTTGCTCTGCCCACCTGTTGATGATAATGGTGGTTATATGGAAAGACGCGATGCTATGCAATCCAGGAGCTGTTGTCGCTTAGCTGACGGTCAACATTGTCATTTGATTTCTGTTGACGTTTGCATTTCGTACGTTAATTCAATTTAATTCTGTGTATCTACGTGTGCGAGTGGTTGTATGTGTACTTTTGTCCAGTGTCTCGCCCCCTCACCCCTCCAATGGTTGTGTTTATTGTCCGGTCTATATGAATACAGCTTGATTTTGTTGGACGCGAGTGTCAAATTTAGCCGAGCACGTCTATAAAAAGTGTTTTTCGCTCCTGTGTCAGTCGGCAAACACGTGCTACTATCCCAAACATGCAAATGTGGGGGAATTTATCTACAAGAATTAAAGTGTGAGGTAACTCTTTAAGCGGTATTATGATGGTATCAGTGATGTCTTTCTTATTTTATGGGGACCATTTGGTTTTTTTGTTTTTTTGCCATTTTGAAATCATTGACTATACCTATTAATTTTTAGATATCAGTGACTTGTTTACCCATCACATCTTCGGCTTGTCACCATGACAACCAGAATAATTCAAGTAGTCTTTTGCCTTTTGGTGCCCCCAACAGCATTTTGCCATTGCACTAATTGTTTGTCAGTTTCATGTTCATCAATGGTCCCTTGTTTTCCGATAAGTTTTCCCGACAATCGGGTGCAGCACTCGAAACGAACATAATTGACAAATTTGCACTTGAACTACTGTGCGGCGGGGTTGTCGACTAGGTAAATATCGAAGAAAGACTTTCGAGGGGCGATCAGAACTGCAGATAATTACCCCATTACCCATTACCCCATTGGTAATACCATTTATCAGGCATTGACCAGGCTGTGTAAAAAGTCTTATCAACTGTTGATTGAAGGTAATCTACATGAAAGTGAGGGATGCACTGAGGAAAAGTTTATTGCCTTAAATCACTAATGGTACTACAAAAAATAAGATTATATGATTTTGATTACATTTCTTCAAAAGAAAAACTTTATTTATGCTGGAGCTTAATAAGAGGAACCACAAAACGTTTTGAAAAATATTAAGATACAGTTTTATAATAAGCCATATTTTTTGATCTTTACTTACCACTCAACTTACCTTTTATTTTTCCTATCTTTTCAGGCCTATGGACCCATTCCAGACCTGACAGTGGCCGTGATCAACCAGCGGGAACTGCTGTACGGACTTACCCTGGATGCCGCTGGCCAGAGCTGGCAGCTGAGCATGTGCATCAACTGCAAGGAGGTGCTGTGCGCCAAGCGATTGACGGCGGGGGCCGGAGCCACGCCCACGCTCTACCTCATCAACTGCACGCTGCTGACCAGCGGCGAGGAGTTGGCCCAGCGAAAGTCCAACAAATCGTTTTCGGAGACCTTCGAGCTGCTGATCATGGATCACGCAGGCAGTGACTCGGTGTCGGCGGGACCCACCGTCGGAATAGCCAACTCGGCCTCAAATCTGAGCATTGGTTCACTGAGCGCGAATCCCGCGGATGCCACGGTGCAGAGGTTGAGGATGATACAAGCCCACCAGCAGGCGCGTCTGCAGGAGGAGATTCTGGAGACGAACGAACGGATTGAGCGGTATACGCGCAACCAGTTCCAGTTGCTGAACAGTTTCCGGGAGAAATCTGATCAGGACTGTGCGCTGCTGTTCCGGGCAATCCGTGCGTTGCCCGAGCAGGCCTCGGAGCTGCTAGATCGTGCCATGCCCCCCGCCCTGGAAGTGGCGGCCAATCAGCCGCAGAGTGCAACTGCCCGGCGCAGGAACACCATCAGCAGCCGGCGGGAGTTAAACGGTGGACCCACCACGCCCACCACCACACTGAATCATCCGCCCAGCTTCCTCACGCTCAACCAGCAGCCGCAGCAACAGTTGCAGCCTTCGCAGCTCGCAGCAGCAGCAGGCGCAGCCACTGCAGCAAAGTGTCTCGGTGGCCAGGAAGATGTCGCACTTTGACACACCGCCCGCCACCCCAGAAGCCACGCCCATGAGCGTGGGCAACAGTCCCACCTTCCGACAGCAGTCGGCCGGCGGTGCTGGTGGTGCACCCACCCAGATGTTGACCACCAACGGAGTGGGCCAGTCCAGTGGCGCCGACGATGCAGATGACTGCCTGTTCGACCTGGAGGATGTGGATGCCCCCACGCAGCTGCCGGTTCAGTCCGTGCCAGTGCCCAGCTACCCGCGCAGTCTGATCTACCAGCAAGAGCACCACCAGAATCCGTTCCAGCAACTGAGCCAGCAGAACGGCCTGGGAAACGTGCTCGATGACGAGGCTGCCGACGAAGCTGAAGGTGAGTGCCACGACAAGTTTCACTAGAACCATTTCGTAACCAGTATGCTCTCGCTTTTCCAGATGCACTCGACCCGGACAGCTCCATTTCCATACCAGTGCGGGGGGGAGGACGTCCCACTCATGCGCAGCTGATGAACTTCGCCAGGAGTCTGCCCATCGAGATAGCCAACACTACGCTGGCTGAGAGAGCTGCAGCTGGCAACAATAATAATAATTTTGCACTGGGCTGCGAGGAGGTAAAATTCGTATTACTACCCTAATTATACAAAAAACTAATGATGGTTTTCCTATCAGGGAATGGACAACATCGACATAGCGGCCAGCATCCAGGCGCTGACCAAAAGCGTTCATGGCGAGGCTGTGTTTGGGGACTTGCCACGCCCCCGCCTGCGATCTCAGATCGAGGGCTAGCTGGGCTGGATGGAATTTCGGAGTCACCACTACGTACACATAAAAATATATCAGCTCGTAATCCGCATACTTTGTTAGCCTGTAGCCTAGCCGCCTTGATGATTGTTTTCGCTATCTAAACTAAATTAGTTGCTCAACGAAACAAGGACACACGAAGCGCCTTCCACACCACAGACACCACCCCACATGTCATGCATAACCACACATGAAACCTCATTCGCACCAACTACCACCTACCAACTACCACGTACCAATTAAGCAGACAGTTTGCAATTTCTTTAATTTACATCGCCTATAAGTTTTCTTTCATTTTTTCGGATGATCTTCGATTGGAAATGTGTATTTTCTTCGTACGACGAGTGTACGGCTGTCGTTGGCTGTTGCACATTGAGTTAACTAACTGATACTGATACTGATGATGTTGTTAGTTTATACAATGAATAATCTAGTATACATATACATTATATATATTATACCATACATAAAGAATGCCATCAGCTCCAACTGTGACGCAGGCAAGACGCACCACAAAGCGTCCAATCTAATGTCTTCAATTGTGTGTTTACTTTTGGGGCAAGGTTTTCAATACCCTGAACTTCGATCTCAATGTTGTGGTGGGTCCGTGACTTTAAAGCTGCCATAAAACTGAATAATCATAATGACGGAAAGTAATCTTTCAATTGCCATTAAACTCAACATTCAAAGTTTAGTGCTCAAAATGTATTCAAAATGAAAAAATGGACAAGCTTCTTTTTATTACTTTCCGACTAAAGATTCCTTGCCGATCCCAAAAATCATACAAAACTTTGAAGTTTACTTAACAAAATACTTTGTTGTGGCTTTCGATTGGATTACAAAACTAAAATTACAACTGAGAAACTCGTAACATAAACTACAATATGGCTACCAACTAAAACTTTACATTTTTAAAGCGAAGGGTGTCTAGAAAACGCTGGCCAGTCTCTCGATCTCCAGCAGATCCGCAAGAATTTCCTCCGTCCGCGTGCCGATCTTCTTGGCCACTTCATTGCGCTCCGAATTGGCCATTAGCCGATATGACCAGATTAAATCTCCATCGATGATGCATCGCGAGGGATTGATGCCTTGCTTCTTGAACGATTTGAGAGTGCGGTACTCCTTGGGATTGAGGCCACACAGGTGATCCTGGTAGGAGAGGAGGACATTCTGCAGCATAAGGAATCGCCTGTACACTTTCTCTGGCAGTGGCAGGCAATATCCCAGAGCTCCATCGAGGGTGCCGTAGACCACAAAGTGTTTGTTTTCGTAGAGGAAGGGTTGGCGTTGATGAAGTCCCTTTTGATGGCACTGCACACGGAACATGGTGTTCACCACCTGTCCCAGATGATAGTCCGCCTTGCGGAGCAGTTTCTGGCCACCCAGTGATTCCCTGGCCTCCGGCTGATACATATAAACAATTAAATTGCGCTCAGCATCTGTGACCAGGAAGCCCAGATTGGAGTTGTCTACCATGAATTCGATACCATAGACCTCCAGCGGATTAAAATCTCGCGATGCCAGCGACAAAGTGCGATACTCCTCTTGGAAGCGCAGTAAACTAATTGATTTGTAAACATCTGCGATAAATATCAGCGATTTGACAGTGATAATCTGGTGCACATAGATATTCGTATCTATGAAAGCCACGCCAATTAGATCTCCATCGCGCAGCTGCCAAATGTAAATCTTCTGGCCCAAGCCAGTGACCAGAAAACCGAGCACATCTGAAATGGCCGATACGGGTCCCTTTTGCTCTTTCTTGAAGACCTCCTTTAGCTTAAATTTGGTCATTGGTTTTCCGGGTTCGGGAACCACTTCGATGATGTCATAGATATGAATATTTCCCCTGCTGGTGATATCCTCGCTGTAGTTAAAGTTGGTTCCTATGCAAAGGTATTCCTTGAGACCAGATCTCGTACCTTCGTAGGACAACTTTACGATCTTGAATGCGGTGACATGCTCCCAGGGCTCAAAGGTAATGGACGCATCGGGAACTATTTCCCAGGTTTCGGGGGATATTAAAACCATTTCGAACTGCGAGCCAATGGGGTAGATAAACCTCTCGCCACGACTTTCCTCAGACAGCTCCTTATCCTCTCCATTAAACCGATAGTACTTGGTCATAGGCTCTTCCGTTTGGGTGATCAAGCAATAAACTCGATTTTCCCGGTGGTAAACCAGTTGCCTAGGCGTGCATCTCAGTGGTACTTTGCGCACCGGCCACTGAGAGTCGTAGCTCAGATAGCTGGGCAGCACAGAGATCTTTAGCTCAAAGGTGGTGTCAAAATACAGGAATCCATTTGGTATATTGATATTGTTAAATGCGGCAAAACTGCGCACATCACCATTTCCCAGCAGCCGATGGATACGAAGTTCTCCACGGGAAGTAAGGAAAACAAAACACGGATTCACTCCACACACCATAATGCCAGACAGTCCTCCAACGTTGGCAAATGGGCGAAGTTTTTGAACATACTTCGGTTGCATTTGATAGGATTCGATCTCCTCCTGCTCTTCGTTCTCATCCAACTCAATATGCGACGGCTGTTGGTCCAGAAGATTTAGTTGCTCTAGCTTGCGGAAGCGTATCTTAAGATGTCCCTTCGGATACCGGAAGACCTGGTATATGAGCAGCTCCACTCGGGTTCGAACGAAAAGCAGAGGTCTCTCTCCGTTGAGTCCCAAACCAATGACGCTCAGTTCCAGCGGCAGCGGGGAGTTGGCGTGCTGCGGCATACAAGCCTGGACAATGCCCGCCTTAGAGTTTTCCTGCGTGGTTAGCGAAATGGGCACGAATTCCATGGCATCCGTAAGAACCATAGCTCCATTGCCCACATCGTTCACGAGATACACCAGCTTCATGTCCGGCATGGAGTATATCTCCAAGGTGCCACTCTGGCGTGCTACGACCAGCCAATAGCTGGGCTTTGCTTGCACCAGGAGGCGTCGCCACCAGTCCGAGTTTTTCTGTTTTGACTGCTTGGCTAAATCAGCCATGCTATTCATCTTGAATGCACTTCCGGCATCGCCATAGAGCAGATCTTCCTCGTCCTCCACCTTCATATTGGGCTCTGCCTTCATGTAGCCACCGAAAGTGTGGCCAAATCCACTGCTCGAGCCTCCCGTCAGATTGACATCATCCCCTTTGACTGTGAATAGTCCAGATAGATCCTTATACGCGGAGATGGCAACCACGGCGGGTGAACTGCTAATGGTGTGCTTATTGATGGCCAGACGGGGAGTTCCGCGTGTCTCTCGCAGTGCCAACGTAATAACCTGACCATTTAGCACCCGAAGGCAAACGTATGGATCTGCTATGGACACCTGCACCACCGGTGAGCCCACATCGATGGGCACATTCTGGATAAGACGCGTGCCCTGCAGTAATCTGACATGACGAGTGGTGATCTGAGGATTTTAAAATAAAAAAATTAATTACTACTTTTATTATTAGGTAATTATGAACAGTTTACCTGAACTATGAACCTCTGCTGTCCAAGATTACCCACAAATATCGTCGGTTGATTCACCGTAAATCCGGTATTCTCGATCTCGTTGATTTCCTGTCCTGTTTGAAGAACCAATGTAGAATTCCTTTGCGAAAGCAACATAAAATCATGCTGATCGTGCCGCGAGGACTTTTTGGTGGCATCATCAAACACGGTCCACACATCGAGGCAGCCGTCTAGCTCAAAGCTGGTAATAATCTGGGGATTAATGCAGTTCACAAACACGGATAGAGCTCCGTTTTTGCTGTGACCAGTGGCAGCGACCAGCTCGATCTTCAGCTCATTCAGCGATTCCGCATGCGGTCGCAAAGTGGCTCCGTCCTCCTCGAATTCCACTCTTTCTCCGGCGCACATGTAGTTAATGGGAGCCACGTTGATGAGACTGTCGCATACCTCAAAGATGAACTTGCGCAGCTGGAGTACCGAAGTCTTAGCTCCTGAGCCGTACACCTGTTAAACAAAAAATAATAATTAATTTCAGTTCAGTGTTTTTAAACTAAAAGAAAGTTATAGTCTATAACGTACTTCCAATTCCTCGTCCTCGATTCGCCGCGACTTTGCTTGAGTGGGCGCCAGTTCCATTTGATCAACATCAAAAATCTCCTCCAGATTCTGTTCCTCTTCCTGCAGATTTCTCTGCTGCTGTTCCGCCTGTTGCTCCACATCGTCCAAAGTAATGACCGTGCTCTGATCCTCCTCCGTGAAGTGCAGCAGCAGGGAGTTTCCCAGACGCGATCCCAGGAAGATGTACTCGGAATGCAGAACGCAGATGCAACTGGTTAGCACGCTGGCGGCTGCTTTGTGGAAATGGAAATTTCTCACCGTCCTCATCGAGTCAACGCAAAGTGTGAGGACGTAGAGCTCTCCAGTGCGGAGGGAGATTACCAGCTTATCCACATCGATAAACGCGAAGTTGGCGCAGTCCAAGCTTATGCGAACTCCATCCTGTGGCTTCAGCGGAAACGCGGTGCTGTTATCCGCCGAGCTGTTTAAGCTGACGCCATATGGAGGAACACTCTGGTTGAGGTAGATCACTGCATTCACGGTCATTACCAAGCAACCACCAATGGGCTTCTGGATGGGATACACCTGTAAAGTCGAACATAAATAAATTAGATTCGTTCGAATGAAAGAACTCTCTTAATGTGACTTCTAAGATCTTTAGACCCACCTGCAGACAGTCGAACGGCAGGCTGTTGACCGTCCAGATAATAGGATGCACCCGCTGCTGGATATTCAACGAAATGGCCACCAATACGCAGGTATCCGAGCGCACCTTAATCCTTCCCGGACACGTGCGCACAGGCTCGTAGAGGATGAGCAGCGTGGGCTCGTAGTAGCCGTGCAGGAACTGTATGTCCAGCACATTGTCGATCTTCTCGTCCAGATCCCGTAGAGCTATCAGATACGAGGCCATAATGGGTGTTCTGCTGACCATGGCGGTGGGCGCCTTCTTGATTGGCTTCACATCCGCCAACTCGATCTCGTCCAGGCTGTTGTCCTTGCGAAAGGGCAGGACCACCAGCCGTTTGCCGTAGACCAACATGACGGCGCACCTGGAATCGGGATCCACGCGCACGGTGGGCACAAAATAGCGACCAGTCCAGCCGCCTCGGATGTCGTCCTCCTCGAAATAGTGAAGGGAGAGGGTCTTCAGGGCGAACGTATCCGGATCGTGCTGCAGAACCGATAGCTTGGCGTCCTTAAAACTGATCAGCAGGGCATCCCGCATGGCTCCCGCCAAGGAGACGCACTGCAGCGACATCACGTTTCCGTAGAGCGAGTACGTGGCCAAGCACTCCAGCCGCATCTTGGGCGCCAACCTCATCTCGCTGGGATTCAGCTTCTGGCGCTGGCCCGCCTCCACGTTGGGCGAAATGCGGTACACCTTCAGCACATTGGCGCCCGCCACCACCAGGTTCTCCTCCAGGTTGTTGAAGAAGCGGCACGCTATCGAAAACTCCAGCGCCGTGGCGGCGTGCGTCTGCTTGCACATGGAAAACATTGCGGTCGTCTGGTTTGCTTCGCGGCGCAACTACTTAAAACATTATTAAACTATTTAGTAAGTTAAACAATTTGCCGGCCCAACACAGCAGATGCGGAACTATCGATTGCCGGAGAAAAGTTATCGCCAATTGGTAGGGATGGCGCGCCGCAGCAGCAGTGTTTGCAGCTTGGCTACTTTTTAGTCAGTAGCAGATAAATCTGGCTACTTCTTAATTAGGCGCTAGTTTTAGCTTTTTTAAATATTGCCATTTCGAATCGCTTATAACTTTTGTACCAGTTTTGTTTTTTATGCAACCTTTTGGTGTAATTTTGAATAGCTTAAAATCGCATATATTAACACGAATGGAAAAACTTGGCTCAAGAAATTTGACCTGTTTATTCAACTTATTGTAATTATTAAATTGAAATCGCCATTCGTTGTTCCTAGCTAGTTCTCCGCCTGCCCCCGCAATCGATATCGGCAACCCTGCTCCGGGATGCAAGTACATTCGCGCCTATCGATGTATCGAGCGACATCAACAACCCCATCGGACTTGGCAGCCAACAATTCGAGCGTTTCGCGTTTAGAACTGGCCACGAAAAAATATTTAAGATTGGAGTGCGGGACGCAAGGTGCGTTGGCTAGTTGGTGTGATTAGTGCGGAGTGCTCGTACTAACTAAAACAATTTCATTCAATTAAACGCAGCTTTTCTGCGTAGTGTGTGCGAGTGGGATGGGTGCTGGGCCTGATAGGCGGAAACGCGTGCGCCAGAAAGGGATCGGCATAGTTAGCTAGAAAAGAATCATTTTGTAGCTGCTTTGTTTGTGTGTTTGGCATTCACATTTCCCCCATTCAATATTTAATTTAGTGAGCTATTAACGAGCCGGAAATCGGCGTTATGCAAAAGATAGTACTGTATTACAACTCAATTCCGTATAGCAAATATGTTAAATACTCGCAGGAAGGCTTTTAAATAGAAGCAAAAGCGATTTTTTCTACTTTTACGCTGTGCCAGTGTATGTCTGTGTGTGTGTGTGCGTGCGTGAGAAAAAAATATAACCAACCAACAACTTCGCAGGTCGTTCGTAGTTGTTGTTGTTGCAGTTACATTGTTGTTTTTGTTGATTTTTGCTGGCGAGTGCAGAAAATTTGGAGGAAAACTAAAACGATAATTAAAACTAAATCATATAAATCTCCGCATAGCCGCAATTCGATTACATATAAAACACACATACAAGTTTATCCACATCCAAACGTACATACATACATACACAGATGGCAGTACATATACAAAGGGCGCAACGTTAAAATTATACAGACAGTTTTTGCCTTAAAATGGACAATACTTCTGGCCAGGTTAGTGAAGCGGCCAGGATTAACCGAGCAATAAACAACAGAACTAGTTTGTCCATCTATTCTGGCTTTTGGAAAGCCGCATGCCCTAAAATTGGACAGCATTGGTTGAGGGTAATCCCGGGAAATAGCAGAGAAAGAACCAAATTAAAATATGAACTATAAATATTGGTTAAGGCACAGCCAGCTAAAATAAGTTTAAGTAGAACCCCTTGAGAAATAGAGGGTTTATATTATTTAAGCTAATAAAAAACACTGAAGCCTTCAAGTTCACAATAATTTACATTGATTAAACGTTTATCAGACATCATTAAGTTTTCATGAACTTCCTTGACAAACAATAACTAATATTGCGAAATTTTCTTTTCCTATCTATTTTAGTATGTGCGGAAGAAACTCGCCTGACATGGATGCATGGATCAAAAGTTCGCTGTAAATAGATTAGGCAGATAGATTAACAATGAAAACTATAACGCCGGATACGACGACGACGACGACGTCGCAGCACCAACAACTTCTCATTCCACAAGCGGATCAGCATCACCAGCCGATGCTGCAGCAGCAGTCTCTGTTGGCCGCTCCACCGCCTCCCATAATAATGGAGCACGTGAATCTGGTGGACGACGACGAGAAGGATCCGCTGGCGCTGGAGCAGCTAGAGGTGTCGCCCTCTACCAAGCACACGCACAGTCTGAGGTTGGTTTGCAAACCAATGATGCCATCACATAGATCTCAAAACGTTTTCCCTTTCAGACGCCACCTGCCACGCATTATCGTGAAACCCATACCACCTGAGAAGAAGCCTATGGCGCCCAGTGAAGAGCCAGCCGTTAATCCTGCTTCTGCTCCGCCCCCGCGATTGATCTGCAGCCGACGCATTCAGCAACAGCAACAGGTCAAAGCGGCAGCTGCAGCGGCAGCAGCAGCGGCTGCAGCGGCGGCGGCCACAGCTCAAGCTCAAGCCGCCGCCAACTATCCATCCGCCATCTCACCTGGTAGCAAGGCCGGTTCCTCGCAAGCTTCGACCATGCGGGAGGTCCTAGCCTCCATACCCGGCTTTAGTGTTAAGCCACGTCGGAGGAGCAATAAAAAGCTGACGACAGCGGCGCAAATTGAGCAAACAAAAGACGGCAAGATCGACCTGGAGACCCCCGACTCCATACTCGCATCCACCAACCTTAGGGCGCTGTTGAACAAGCAAACGTTCTCGTTACTGCCGCCCTTCTATCAATACAATCTCATACAGCTGCTGCCCAGCGTGGATCGCGAGGCGAGCGAGTCGGAGCTACCCAGCGGCAGCGGAAGTGGAGGCAGCTCCTCGGAGGGTATAAGGCTCAGTGCCTCCTGCTTGAACAATGAGTTCTTTGCCCGAGCCTGCCTGGAATGGCGGGAGCGGTTGAGCGAAGGTGAATTCACTCCCGAGAATCAGTTAAAGTTGAAAACAGAGGCAGAGCGCGAGAAGAATAAGCTGGATCCTTGGAAACTGAAGCACTTTGAGCCCTTCTGGGGTGAAAAGAACGCCAGGAGCAAGGCGAAGACCGAAGGCGATGGCAAGGACCAGAAGCCTTCGGTTAGCGTTAAGAGTGAGCCCAAACCACCAGCAACATTGCAACAAAAACCACAGCAACAACAAGCAACATGTGATAATGAGACTGAATTAAAATTTGATTTGGTAAGCTTATGAAATCCTTAAAATGTAAAAACGAGGGGCATAATATCTTATAACTTGCAGAGCACAAAGTGCGAAACGACAGCAGCAACCACAAAAACTACAGTAGCAACAGCAGTAGCAGCTAAATCGAGCGCTCCGTCTGCCACCAGCAGCCAGAGTAATGTGTTAAACGAACAACAACGCCGAATCCTCAAACGTCCATCGAGCAGTCCTTCGCAACGCAAACAAGCACCCACAACGATAGCCACCATAACGTTGGACGACGATCCCGACGAGCTGCCAAGCACATCGAAGGACAGCAAGCAGCCGAAGATGGTCGAAATTGTTCCTAATGCGTCAGGGATTGTTGTCGCTACCCCAGCAGTTGATGTTGTGGATAATGCCGCAGGGGATACAGAAAGCAAGGAGGAGCAAAAGCACCATCGCCAACATCAGCCACTTGTCAACAGTACCTGTGATAGATTTGAGCCATCTGAGCAGTGCAGTGAGGAAGTGATCGTTGCCATGAAAAGAACGGAGGATGTAGAAGTGGTGCCGCCTGCTGCTCCTGCAGCTGCCAAGCCAGCGATTGCTGTTGTTACCCCACCTGCACCAAAGCCGGAACATTTGGTAAACAACCCGGAGGTGGTCAACCACTTTGTGAGCTACTTGCAAAGCGTTGAACTAGCAGCTGGTAAGTTGGATATTTTTTTCGAAAAACGTTTTCCTTCTAAAATAACTGATACACCAAAAATCGTAGACACCAAAGCCCCTTTGGAAAACTCAACTGAGGCAGATATAAGGACAGGAACAAACAGCCATGATTTTGTATTTGCAGATACCATTGATCACGGTTAGTTAACTTAAAGATAGCTGTCGCTAAAGTCACTAATTTTTATTAATTCTTTTTAATCAGCCTATTTCCAAGACCATCAATCAGCCATCAATCACAATTACTTCACTTCATCGTCATCGTCCAACAGTAATCATAATCATCTGTTGCTTATTCGAAGAACCTAGTGTACTAATTGTTCCATTTATTTTTGCAGCAGCGACAACTGCAGCCATTAAACTGGAAGAGCAATGTGGAAAGCTGGAGGACCTACCGATGCCCATTGCCAGCTCTATTTCTGGGTCAACGCCGTCCGGTTCGATTACATCCACCAGCTGCACATCATCCTCATCCTCCACCGCTTCGATGTCATCTTCGTGCTCCAGCAGTAATTCGGGTTCGACAACAACGGCGCCCACGACATCATCGTCGGTGGGGGCAGGGGCAGCCACAACTCCACTGACTCTGGCGGCAGCAGCCGAAACCACTTTGGCCAATGTCCAAGCCATGCTCTCAACGGTGGCCAAGTTGCAGCAACAACAGCAAGAGCAACAGGAATTGCCCATGGAGTTGAACTCCAATGAAATGTACCAGCATGTGCAGCACGATTGGAACTTTGGTGACATTAAGTTGAGCAGCTCGCAATCAACTGGAGATCAGCAGCGCAGCTTAAACCATGAATCTATCGATCTGATGGATGTAGTGCAGGATGCCGACGTCATCGACGACATCATGGATAACGATGTGTGTCATGAAGTTCTTGATGACGACGAGGAGGATGACGAAGAGGAGGAGGAAGACGATGAGGTGGTGGAATGCATTACGGAGGAGCAGCAGGAACAGCAGCTAATGGATGAGGACAATGAAGCGGTGCGCGAGATAGTGGACAAACTGCAGCAACACCAACAGCAACAGGAACAACAGCAGCAACAGCAACATCAGCAATTGCATATCCAGGATGTGGTCCAATTGGCTCAGCATTCGTTTATGCCGCAAGCCCACAGCGAATATGGAAATGATGTGAGTTTGATACGAAAGTAATAGATTAGATGAGATTACATTTTCCTTTCACCAGATCGCCCAGGAGATGCTCTGTGACGCTGTCCCAATGTCTGCTGCCGAAATGGAGGTATCGAGCACTGTGATCACCAACAGCAGCAATAGCAACGACAGCAGTAACAATATGAGCAGCATTTGCAGTAGCAGCAACAGTCTCACCATCAATCAGCTGCCGCAGCAATCTGCGCAACAGCAGCAGAGTCAACAGAACACTCAGCCAAGTGCACCACAACAACGTCAGATTCTTGTGGATTCCAATGGTCAGATAATTGGCAACTTTCTGCTGCAACAGCAACGCCAGCAACAGCAGCAGCAGCAACTTCTGCAACAGTTTACACTTCAAGCGGCTGCCGCTCAGCAGCAACAACAGCAGCAACAACAACAACAGCAAGCAACAAGTAGCAATGCCTTGCCCAAGTCATTGCCGGTGGCCCTTCGCAACGGAGCACAACAGTTCTTGTCGCCCAACTTATTGGCCCAACAACAACATCAGCAGCAGCAACAACTGGAGCAGCAACAGCAGCAGGCTGCTGCGCATCAGAAACAGCAACAAATTCAGCAGTTTGCCCTGCAACAGGCGCAACTACATCAGCGACAATTGCTGGCGCAAGCAGCCAACAACAATCTAATGCAGCAGCAGCAGCAACAACAACAGCAGCAAAATGTTGTGCCTGCGACCACACAGGCTAAATTCATAGCCAAACCATTAAATATCATCTCCGTGACGCGACCTGCCAATGCATCGCCTACCACAGCAGCAACAACAGCAAATACCGCAACTATTCCGTCCGCCTACGCCAATGTTGTTGCTGTGACAGCCGCGCAACAGCAGCCATCGCCGCCAGTACCTGTCCCGCCACATCAGCAGCAAACCTCGCAGCAGCACCAACAGCCGCAGCTGAGCAATCACAACAGCAACATGCAGCAGCTGCCCACGATTCCCAATGTTCTGACAATGAAAACTTTGCCGCCCTCGGGAGTGCCAACCACAATTGCCCAGCAACGATTACAGCCCAAGATGCCAACGGGCAAGGGTCGCAAGGCCACCAGCAACAGGTTGCCACCGGGTGCGGTCAATCTGGAGCGTAGCTATCAAATCTGCCAGGCAGTAATCCAAAACAGTCCCAATCGCGAAAACCTCAAGGCTCAACTGCGCCCGCCAGCAGCGATACTCCACCAGCATCAGCAGCCGACGGCGACCACGGCGGCAACACCTGTCAACCCTGTGGCCCTAAATGTCTCAACCGTGGCTGCCACACCCATGTCCAACATGACAACGGCCAGCGGGAGTGTGGCCGCAGCTGTGGCCGCGGCTCCAGTGCAGAATGTTTTGAAGCAAGAGGAGCTTTTGGTCAGCGGAGCAGTTGGAGCCGGCGCACTGCCAGCTGGACTGCCGCCGAATGTGATGGGTGTCGGTCGTCCGGGTGTATATAAGGTAGAATTTCGATCAGATATACTTTCAATATGAACTGAACCAAATAACGTTGGCTTTTTGCAGGTTATTGGTCCCAGAATGAGTGGTTTTCCGCGAAAGAAATATGTCCAAAGGAAGCCCTCGCCCACCACGCTCATCCGGCATGTTTTCAGTCCTGGACCCGGAGGAGCTACAGCTACACCCCAACAATTGCAGTTGCTGCAGCAGCAGCATCATCAGGCGGCCACACCGCCAGTGCCGGTGCAAAATCCCCAGCAGGTGGCCCCGGAGCCATTAATCCACCAGAATGGCAGCGGTCAGTATGTGCTGGTGCACCGGGCCAATGTGGGTGCAGCTGACAACCAAGCGCCTAGAGCCTCAAGTGCCCCACCGTTGCATCAAAACCAGGTAAATGATAGCATACCATTTCAGTTCGATTTCCATTAAAAAACCATACTCATTTTATGTGCGTTCAGTTTGTCACAGTTCAGAATCCGCTGCACAACATGAATGGAATTCCCATGGGAGGACGCGGGCGTCCGGCATCGGTGGACACGACAGCGGGCAGCGGTAGTGTTATGGCGCCAACCATTTCCGCCACAGATGCGTTGCATCATCATCACCACGAGCTGCAGCAACAGCAGCATCAGCAGCAGCATCCGCAGCAGCAGCAGCAAAGTCAACAGCCGCAGCCGCTGGGCAATGTGAGCGCCGCCGCGAATATTGTGCGGCGCAATATCGCTGCAGGTAAATTGGTGTATTATTAGTGGTTAGCGAGGTACGTCTTTCAAATCACCACCCACAAAATCATCAACCTTATGGTCAAGATACCATAATTGGCACGCAATCATTAGTTTGTTGCATAGATTTGTTAGATTAACCTACGTGATCGAATTACCTTTATGTTTGGATTTATTTTAGCCAAGTTGCATGTTTAATGAACGTAGGGGCCGAAATAGCATATGATATATTTCCAATATTATTTTTTTTTTAATAATTTTCCGTTTGTTGGTAAATTTATTTGTAAAATTCATTTCTTTATAAATAAAGAGTATTTATTTGTAGAGATTGGGTATTTTTTGAATATGTATCAAAATATTTGAAAAACACTAGGGTGGCTAAACAAAATATTTTATTTTTTATGTAAGTTCATGGCCATCCTTGATAATTTTGTTCAAATTGTATGACCGTCAGATCTAATCTTAAATACGGCCCCTGCTAAACAATAATTTTTTTAATAAATATATTTATATTTCCTAGACAAATTAATTTGTTAGTAAGTATTTGATAATAGTTTTTTAGACCCTTTAGTGGCGTTGGCTTAAAATTAAAATGTCATATCCTTTTCCAATTAGGAGCCAACATCGCCTACATCGACGGCAGCAATACCAACTCCTCAGCCGTCGCTCTCATGGAGGCTGGGAACAACTATATAGTGACCAGCAACGCAACACCAACTGCAACTCCCTCGCCCAGCAATCCGCAGCAACAGTCGCAGCAATCCGCGCCGCAGCATCAGCATCCGATGCTGCAGTTGCACCAGAGTGGGGAGAACACTCCGCCGGGCAATGAGGCCACAGCGACGCCAAACAATTGCGCCTGCTCGATGAACGCGATGGTGATCTGCCAGCAGTGTGGAGCCTTCTGCCATGACGACTGCATCGGTGCGGCCAAGCTGTGTGTCGCCTGCGTGATCAGATGAGATGGATAACGTATTGTAGTTACTTAGACAACCGTATCTTTAGACGATCCCAGTAGAGAGATACCTTATGTTTGAATTGTGAACTATACCAATCAAAGAGCAAAGACGAATACCAATTGTACAACAAACAAATGAAAACAACGCAAGTGCAGAGGCTTACGCACAGACGCAGCAATGGCAACCATACATAAATGTATATTATAATTCATTTGCAATTCATGTAAACTAAGCTAACAAACTGGCAATTCGTAACACTTTTTGTATAAAGATAGGAAGGATAGAGGAGTTAAGCCTAAAATGCAAGCTAGTGTTGTGTATTTTGTGCTTGTTGCATATCCCTTAAGATACTCGTTGTTTTTTGTGATCGATTAAGGATATCACAAGCACTCTAAAATGAAACAATAGAATTCAATTTAGATTTTATCATTTGAATTACAGCAGAGCAAATATAATCGAAGTCAAAAAAGTAAAGCATCTAAAACTAAAGAAACTAATTATAATGTAAATATTTATGTTTAAAGTGTAACAATATGAAGTACATACGAGAATAGGTTAGCATATGGACTCACTTACGTCTGATGACTATATTTTTATAATTTATTCGCTGTGTGTGTGACTTGGTTGGTTCGATTTATGAATATACGAACTTGATCAATATACTTATTGCTAGATAAGTGTACTTTAGTTTACTGTGTAATTTATGAAATATTCATAATGTATTTTGAAAACGCTTGAGCCCAGCGCTTAGGCTTTTATTTCTAATTATCTAAGTTTAGTATTATCCACCCAACAACACCCACACCCACACATACACACTCACCCAAGCGATCTAAGACTCTCCACGCCCACATTTCTTTAGCATGTAGCGCATAAACGTAAATGTAATACACGTAATTGATTTCAAAACGAGACCCTATATATTAAGCTAAAACTGTTGATAAATACAAAAATACAATGCAAATTATAAAAAAGATGAGTAAACAAAAACTATAAACGGATAAAATGAAGACAGTATGAGGAACCTATATGAATTATAGCCAGTAAATCAACAGCAACATCACCAAGAAACGATGGCGTGACAAAACCAAACCAAATTCAAAAACAAAACCCTAAACGATGAACAGAACATTTTGCTCCTAGATGCACTCACCGCAAAATTAACCAATAAATAAACATTATTACAAATAAATTTGAAACTAAGAAAGTAACCCTTTAAGGTGTCGATCAACGCTTTCAATGTTCAATATTTGGACGCAGTCGTATTTACGGGAGATGTGTCTTTATTTTGTCAATATTTCATTTTGAAAAAAAATTGAAATTTAAAGTTTGTTCAGAAGGTTTTTACTCTAGATTAAGGCTCTACAAAGTATTCAGTCCGTTTCTAAATGTTAGAAATGCTCCAACCAATTGGCTTTTAGGCATGAATGTCCTTGTAGTGCTTCTCATCGTCGGTCTTGTCCAACTTGATGGAGTATTTGCCGATCAGGGAGCCCTCAACGTCAGCTTGGCCTTCGGGATTGAACTGAGGACCATTGCCAACGTCCTTCATTTCGTCCTTAAGCACTCGGTAGCCATCCTTGTCGGCGATGTATTCGACACGGCGTTCAACAAATCCATCGAAGTAGCTGTAGGAACCACGCACAGTGCCTCCCTCGCGCTGCTCCTCCCTCCGGATTTGGCCATCGTTTATCCTATCGTCCACATTGGAATCGAACGAGTATTGGGCATTTTCATTCTGATATCGCTCCATTTCCTCCCTCTCTAATCGTTCTGCTTCTGTTTCTTCGCGCTGAAAATAGAAAAGGTTTCATAAGTTTTTAGAATTCCAGAGTATTACGAGTATTTGGTGGTTCTATACATTTTTACTTGAATTCCGATGATTATTCTGATCCAAATAAAAGGTAAGAACCTCCATATAATTAATATTCAAACGATTTTTTAGTGTTTTTTAGCTACAGTTTTTCAATCAAGGTTTGAGTCACACCCCCTTTTCATTTAAGTATATTCATGTATAATAAGAATATTAAGTGAACCAGTTTCTAAACTGAAGATCTAATATTAGTGTTCGGTCAGGTAGACCTCGTGATTCCCCATTGCCTGCAGTCGAGAATGAGCTGCATTATTTGAAATGACCCATTGAACCGCAAAACTATTAATTTATATAGTCATCTGTCGCATATAATTAAGTGACTTCGCTGTTAATAATGTTTACACTTCTTTCCTACATCAAGAACATAAATATTTTACAAGACTGCTATTATAAGAAAAATGGAAATTATCTTTGCATTTGTACGTTATGCAATTTTTTTTCAAAAAATGGTTTATCTTAGTTTCTGAGCTCCGCATAAACGTAGACTTTACAGGCATGACTCAGCCTTCATATAAGTCAAAGTAGAAGAAATGATAAATTCATTACGACGATTTGACACATTTTTCCTCAGTCTTTCGTGCCAATGCATGAACGGAAATACTAATTGAAATATGTCGATGTAGTTTAGACATGTGTTTCGGGTTGCGGTTTTACGGTTGTCTAGTACGCTATAGTGACATGTTAAGTATATGCAGTGGATACAAATTTTCTTATCAAAGATCACATATGAGTAATAAGGAGTTAACTTAACTGAATGGAAATATATATTTGGAAAATATGTTTTTATTTTTGGCACCTATCAGTCAAGTTACTTAAATTTCTCATGGTAGCGTCTTCAGATATCGCTTATTCCGATCCTGTTTGTATGTAAATTCAAAGTCTGAAAGATAAGTGCTTTGCTGTTGTTTTTGTCCGTGTTTTTTCGTTCCTTTTGTTTTATAGTTACCTCTCGTCAAGGCAAGTTGGGGAGGTAAAATACAAAAAATGAAGTGAAAAATGAAAAAATACAAAACGCAAATAAGCAAATAAAACTTGTTCGACTCGAAACCGCCGATCGGGGCATATAAAGCCCGATGAACGCCAGTCGATGTTGACTATAGTAACGAAGCGGACGTTCAACTATCACGATGGGTAGGTCCAAATATATAGCTATAAATATTCGCATGAAATGCGGAACCATTAAGAATTCGCTTTTACATCTATATGAACATTGTATGTTATTGCAGTTAAGCTGGGCTTTCTTTCTCTGTTGATTGCTGCCTGTGTGGTTGCTGCCCTTGCTGCGGGTGGTAGGTCTTTGTGTTTCAGCTTTTCCAGAGCTTTTCATTGACTCCCCTTTCCGGCAGATTGTCCTTCATCCACCAAGGTTCAGAACTGCACCCCCAAGTGTCTGCATGACAGCGAGTGCAGTGCCATCGGGGGCAAATGCTGTCCGAATTTGTGCAACGGTCGCAGCTGCGTGCAACCCAATTTGCTGGGAAATTCCGGAGCCGATAAATCGCCCTTTGGCAGCAAAAATAGTAAGTTTTTGCCAATAGATTCATATTTGAAAATAAATCATAATTTTAGAGCGATCTTGACCTTCAAAGTATAATCTAATAATGTCATGGCTCAAAATGGTTTTCAAATGAAATATTGACTTAAATAATATATGCCCTTGAATTAATTTCTCTCTTTTCTAAAGTTGAATATTTTAAAACATCGATATGAATTATTAATAAGGGCTCCCAAAATTAATAAAAATATTTTCGTTCAAAGAAGAGTTGAATGTGATCTCTATCACACATAAATACTATAATCATTTTGATTTAATCGTGTTGATTTGCAAATCCTCATAAAAGCATTATTTAATAAAGAAAATATTTTATACACCATAATAACTTGATTAATCAACATAAATCGTCAATGTCAATTTTCCTCATATTTTAAAAAACCATTTAAGATCCTCTTGAATTTTAACATTATTTTTAAAATCTGTTTTTTAGCCGGATCCACTGGCAGTTATTGCGGCAATGTCAAGTGCGGCAGCTTCGAGAAATGCGAAATGGACCGCAGCACCAAGCGACCCAAGTGCGTGCGATCGTGAAAACCCCGCAGCAACATCAACGAACACGGCAGCAACATCGCGTTATAAACTTATTTCTTTGTCACTAAATGGAAACTTTTAATCCCGAAAACTTTCTTGGCCACGTCAATGTCTCGTTTTATGGATATGTTATATATATATATGTTTTTTTTTTTTTTTTGTGAATTTATGTTAACACTCACGGCAGGAGCTGCATAGGCAATGGCGACCAGCAGGCTGGCGATCAACACGAATTTGAACATATTTTCTGGGGTGGTTAAACTCTCTGCACTCGATGTCTTTCGCTGCAAGCGACTTTGGACTGTGGATCGTTGAGCGGCTTGTGGCCGGGCTTTTATATCGCACTTGAGACCTGGCCAAAAAGGCAGCGGCGTCGGCGGCGACGTCGCTTCGTGTTTTATACATCTTTTTTTTTTTTTTTTTAATTTTTCGTATTTTTTGTATCTTTTCCCCTACCGAACTTTTGTGTTTACATTTTTGACAAGCCAAAGATCTGCCATGTGGTTGTTCGGGGGAAAAACTCAACATCAACACCAAAAACTTCAAATGTAATTTTGCAATCGTCGCTGGGGAAGCTGAAGCTGAAGCTGCAATTTGTTGACTTTCGTGTAGAGAAGAAGATCGAACTGGAATCGGGGTATGTTGCATTGCGTAAGCGGCCCCATCTCCAAAGTGCTTCAAGGTCAGTTGGTCAACCAGTTTCCAAAAGCTGCTCCGAAAAGGTGCACTTACCTCACCCATTCTGCCGCATCTTCTCCTGCAAATGCTCTGGTTTTTTTTTCGGGTTTTATGGTCAACTTATGTAATTTATGTGGAGTTTTGTGCAAATCGAAAGCACATCGGGTGTGTGTAGGTATGTGCTCGCATTCGAGGAAGTAAGAGCAGCAGCATTACGTTGTGTTTTGGGCACCCTTTTCGATTTTTGTATTTTTTTGGATCAGACAGCGCCATAACCAGTCAGTCGACAACAGCTGGAGGATTGGGATTCGAACTGCAATTCGGCCTCACTTAACTGTCGATATACAGTGGAAAAATTGGGCAAGATTCGTGGCTGATTTAGATACAGGTTAATTGAATTACCATTTATTGGCTTTGATTGAAATCGGGTGGAGTTGTTAACGAACGGGGAAACTTGGCTCTTGCGAAACATGGAAGTGTGTAAGCCCAAAGTTAAATGGGCTAATAAATGTGGGAAGCAGGTTGTTAAATTAACAATCGTAATTATGGTTTCTATCTTTATACGTTTGCGAGTTTTGAGTTGCTTGAGCTTCCTCACTTTTTAAGTTTAACCATTGTCTTGACCACAATAAACTTATGTCTGTGAAGCTGAAATTATATCTAATTGTCATACACTTTTTAATAATTTGCGTACTTAGCCTTACTAAAAATTTAAGAAGCATATTGGTCATAAATGTGTAGAAACTTGAAATCTAAATTCAGCTTTGCTTAAATAATGTATTTCAAAAATGTTTAATTATAAAAATTTTTAATATTTTTTTTCAATAAAGACTTTAAATTTAGTCAAGCGTGTTAATTTAAATAAAAACTGAATTTTATGAAGGCGTCATGGCTGTTAATCATCATCTTAAAGCAATTGGTTTATAGCCTTGTAAAACTTTAATAACTGAAATTGCTCCTAATTACGGTAGTCATATAATATTTTAATGCAAATTTAAGCTGCACTTGAGGGCCAATTAAACATTCACCACAAGGTTGATGCACTCACTTAACCTAGTAGAAGCTCAGAAAAAAAGTGAATTCTTTAGAAGCTTATGAATTTCCTCACGTAAGCGAAGCCTTAAGTTCTGATGCCGAATTTGGACAGGTCCAAAGTTTTCTTTGCGGGGCCCACAGTGCGAATGCTTTATTTGTTGGACATCCGTTCGTTCCACTTTCAATTCGCCTCCCCCTACCACCTTTCACCATGGTCTTTCTATGAATCGTAGATGTAATAACAGTTTAGTAAACTACTTTTTTTTGTTATTTTTACAATTATTGTTACTGCACGAATCTCGGATTTGATGATATCGAGATGGGGGACGAGTTTTCTGAGTTGTTTTTTGGCTTGGAATTGAATTCAATGTGAAAAGCTCAAGGTAAGAGACCGCTTCAACTCATCGGTTTGGTTTACCGATAAATGTTTAATTATACATTGTTTTGGCTTAATGATGGCCAATGAAAGAAAGAGAGGGGTATGGGGACTATAGAAAGAGACAGAGAGAAAGAGAGAGAGAGAGAGAAGGGGGAGGTCCGGAAGGAAAGGAAACAACTTCAAACATTTGCCATATTTATGGCTCTATTTTGACTCTGCCTTCGCAAATTAGCACGCTATCGCCACCTCCTCGTTCTCCTCCCCTTACTCCTCCTCCCCCTCATTTGCATGCCAAAAGAGAGGGCCGAAAAAAGAAAGGGAGGGGTAGTCTCTTGGGCGTTACATTGACAAATTGTTTTGGTGCTCTCTTTTATCGCCGCTTTTATGCAAATTTACTTTGTATTTTATACTCATTTTTTGGCTTGTGGGTCTTCAGCGCCCCGGATTTAGCTCAGGGCTATGGCAATTTGACATTTTCAATCAAAATTTGTTAATTATTTATTTGTGATTATGGGCAAGCCATACAAATGATGTCTATCGGGGCGACTCCAGTTTCTGTACGCTTTTGTGGGCGATTCAATGACCTTTCGATTTGCATTTTCTGTTCGGTCTTACGGATTCATACGTATAATCGGAATTATGTTAATGATTTGAATAATTGGTCTGATATCCATCAACTTGTTTCCATTGTGATTAAGTGGCGTGTGTGGGAAATTAAACTAAGTGGGTCTTTTTATTTTCATTAGGGAAATATGGGTCAGAGGTTGATTGGAATATATGTCAGTATCAATTTGTAACTATACATTTAGTGGTTTTATTTTTAAATCATGGATTGTCTTTGGTTAAATTCCAATTAGCTTTGCCTCTTTATGTACAATAATTTATTTAATTAAATTACTTTTTATCGGTCAATTATTTCAGCTTCAGTCATTTGGACAGGCTAATAAAATTTAGCACACTGTTAATTTTAATTATACGAGCGGTCTAAACTCGCTTCTGGAACTTGCCGGTATCATCAATGAATAACTGGCCTGCATATCAAAATAAATCCGATTTATAAGCAATCGCATAAATTTTCAACGCGATGTTGTCACTTTAACAGCTGTCCACACACATAAAGGCATACACTTGGCAACAGACACAACACACCCACACACACATGTCCGTTTCAAGGACACCGGCAAAAGTAACCGACTTACGTATCAAAATATGCATGGTAAATATCTCCATGTACACAAAGAGAAATATAGTACAACAAGAATTCTAAATCTCTTCAAACATTTTATTTACACCCAGAGAAAAACCCCATAGTAAAATTAAACATTAAAATGTTTATTTATATTTATTTATTTATTTTTATTAAGACGTTGAACTTATAGTGTTGTATAAAAGTTCAAATTTGAATACATTTTATTGAATTAAAATTTAAAGTCATTTTACAAATTATCAAACATTTGTTTTTTAATTTTTTGAATCTTTTAAGATTTTCTGTAAGTTTTAAAATAGTAAATATGTCAATAAATATATGTATGTATATATGTAGATATAAGATGGGTACGGGCAAGTGTACATATTTGACAGCTGACATTTAGAAGAGGAGTGCGAGCTAAAAACTTGAGGCCTCGTGCGTGCGAAAAAAGGAATGCAATAAAAGCAAATGTGCGAGACAAAAGTATGCAGAAACAACGACAACAACGAGGTACATTATGCACAGATACACAAATTTGCATGCCAAGCTGTGAAATTTGGGGATAGCGGAGAAAATTGGGTGCGTTACAATATGTAAATAGAGTGGCAAACATTATTGGGCCAAACACTTCCTAAACCAACAAAAATGCTGAAAATAGGAAAGACATTTTTGGGGGTACATAGCTCCTCAAATCGAATTTTCCCTTTCGAAACCACATTTGATTTTAATTTGAAATGATTTTTTATTTTGCTTAACGAAACTTTATTAATCTTAAGTAATCAAAATTTTAAAAATTTTTGCTTAACTTAATTTAAGTCGGAAAATTTTTTTTTCTCCCATTCGAGGTTAGTAAAAACGTTTAAGCTTTTTTATATTTTAAAGCAGCGTTATCAAGTTATTGGTTATTAACGTTTTTCATCTGATTTGTAAATTGTAAAACTAGTTGGACCCAAAGATTTTACACCATAAAATAAATATTAAAAAATAAACGCCTAAAAATTTAAAATATTTCGAATGCTTTATCTTGAATCGGGAACTTTAATTCCTAGAATTCCAGAATTCCTAACTTTAAATGCCGTATCACTAGCAACTTTTACCCTTCGTTCATTTCCCCGTTAATATTTCATGGTCTTGAATCGCAGCTTTACTCCATGATAATTGCATTATTCACAGCAGTTGGCGCTCTTCTCGAGCCTGGTTGAAATTTTTTACTTGACCTACCTCAAGGCTTATGGAGCACTTAGCCCAGTCAGTTGCCAAAGGCGCGAGGAGGAGAATGGCCTTTCGGATGGAAACTAAAACTAAAGCTTGTGCGAAAGCTTGCTGATAAGCTCTGTAATGGCGCCATATGCAAGCCGGCTGCATAAACCGCCAGCAACAACTACAATACAAAATAACCCGAAAACCGCGTGATAAAGGGAAAACGGGGAAAACGCATGAAAAACTGGTGGCGAAAGGGGGAAAACGACGACAACAACAGACAGACTCACTAAGTGAGAGAGCCAAGTTATCAAAAGTAATTATCAACAAGAGACAGCAACAATGCCAGCCAGCGACTTATGGAGGAGCCCTGGGGGGTTAAAAGGAGCGGCAATCGCGGGATTCCGGGTGTACGAGTCCTGGCAACATGAGTAAGTCAGCGTTAATTAAGTCAGGACCCAAAACAAATGGCCAGCGCATCTAAAAGTGCATTCCGTTCCTGCAAATTTGCATTTGTTTGGGCAGTACAAGGGGTTTTCGGGTATTTTGGGAAGCATTGTTTAGAATTGTAAAGAGGTAAAAGATTCTGTGAATTTGTTAGTTAGAGATTAATTAAAATATTAGTGATACATTTGGATTTATTATTTATTTATTATTTACATTAATTCTGGAATAGACTAATACAGTTTTAATGCTGCCAAAATGAAACATAAAATATTTTAATAAACCATTCGTGTCACGACCTCATCAGTAGTTAGGTACCCATTTCTTGAATGCCCTCGGCGTTGTGTGCATCTTTAAAATCGCATTAAAGTTGAAGAGC